CTAAAGAAGCATGCGATTCTAGGTATGTAATATATTTTATATTCAACTTAAAGAAGGTTGAGAAAACAACAAACACGATGGTAAGAATTGGAAGAATTATAAAATGGGCGGAGAGCAATTGAGCAAAAGAAATCAAATTGAATATTATTATGAAGAAAATTGATGGATTTTTGGGGCTTTGCATGCAGTGCGGAATCGACGTTCAAAGATGTATCGGAAGCATCAGCTGAGTATGTTTCTAGGAGCGATCTCAAGAACGCTGCAGCATGCTTTAGTTTAACAAGTCATATCAAATAAGATGATCGAGACACGTAAACCCAATCAATTGTAGAAGTAAGAGAATTTTAGATTTGGTTCATTCTTTCATATTCTTTATGGCTTATTAGCAGTGATCAAAAATAAGAGGAGGGATGAATTGAGCAGTCCCTTGGGCTTTTTTTTGTTCTCTCCAGTTTATTTGTATAGAAGAAATCGTGGCATAGTTTTAAATATGCCATTATTTAATTAATAATATCAATGACTATGTTATAACAAAGCAAAGAACTTTGAATTCTAAATTCTGAATTTTTTTTTGTTTTTTAATTTTGTTTGGTGAACAGTGTCAATATGTGGAGTGAGTCGGCTGGTGCACCAGTTTCCCGTTTAGCTTCATCAGGTGACTCAACCTCTCTTTCTTTTATCTTTTTCAACTTCTTTCTATTCTGGAATATCGATATGTTTGAGAGTGATTGACTGGGAAGAAGAAGAAGATCCGTTGAGTATACAAATGGAAACGAAAAAAATAACAAAACCAGGAAATTCTTATACCATATTGTCTTTTGACACTGCTTTTCCGGCGGGCACAAATATGGTCTTTGATGTTGGTTCATGTTGGCGCGGCGGGCGGGGGTGCAAATATGGTCTTTTGACGCTGGCGCAAATATGGTATTTTGACTGGCGTGGCGGGCGGGCGGGCGCGAATATGGTATTTTGACGCTGGTGTTATGGTGTTATGGCGGTGGCTGAAGTTGCTCTTTTGGCATGGGGTTGGTCTTTTGACGGTCTCGAATCTTTTCTTGAGTTCCATTGGGGACAAGTGATTAAGTTTAGGGCTTGGGTTTTTCATTCGGGCCTTCTTGAAGATGGAGGAATTTGACGAGATAAGAATTTTGATGCTTGTTTCCGCGATGATAACCTTAGGTCTTGCCGTGTCTTTGCTGAAGCTATCGTGTCGTATGGATGGATGGGATGCACAGAGTGTTCTGCCACTGAAGTCTTCAGTGAAGATCCCTCCCACTGGATCATCATGATGTTGGTCTTTGCTCTTTTGGCATGGTGTTGGTCTTTGCTTTGGCGGACGCAAATATGGGCATGGAGTAGGCGTGGCATTGGCGGCCCAAATATGGGCGTGGCATTGGCGGCCCAAATATGGGCATGGAGTTGGCGTGGCATTGGCGGCCCAAATATGGGCGTGGCATTGGCGGCCCAAATATGGGCATGGAGTTGGCGTGGCATTGGCGGCCCAAGTATGGGCATGGAGTTCGGCTTGGTATTGGCGGCGCAAATACGCGGGTTGGCGGGTGTAAATGAGACAATATGGTATGCGAAGTTTAAAATCAGCCCAGGCACCCTACTTGTAACAGACCAAATTTGCACCTCATCATCTATGTTTCATGTTTGCAACAGACCAAATTTGACATGTTTGCAACGGACCAAATTTGCACCTCATTAACATCACTGTTTGAAGTGTGAGACCAAATTTGACATGTTTGCAACGGACTAAATTTGCACCTCCTTGGCATCACTTATTGAAGTGTGTGAAATGTGTGATTATGGTGATGGTGAATCACAAGAATGCATTGGAATGATCCTCGTATTTATATAATATTAGCTTGTAAGAATGTATATCGGTAGGGGAGCCTTCTGCCTTAGGGGAAGCACCTGCGCTAGTAGTAGTGGAAGTGAGAATGTCGGCTTGAGTAACGTAAGGGCGAGGCGAGAATGTCGGCTTGAGTAACGTAAGGACGAGGCGGAGGCGAGAATGTCGGCTTGAGTAACGTAAGGACGAGGCGGAGGCGAGAATGTCGGCTTGAGTAACGTAAGGACGAGGCGGAGGCGAGAATGTCGGCTTGAGTAACGTAAACATTGGTGAGAACTCAATGCCCTGAAAACCTGCAAGGTTCGTCTATGTAGGGTGAGTCAAGGCCAGGCCAAAAGGCGTAGACAACAGGTCAACAGGTGAATATTCTTGTACTTGTTGGTCTCGAAGGACAAAGGAAGTTAGGTTAGCCGAAAGTATCGATTCAAGGTGTGGTCTCATTGTGGTAGTCTGATCTAATACAAATCTCAAACTTATAAAACTAACTCAATACTAACCCAAACTTTTAATAATACAAAATTAAACTTTTAATAATATAAAATTAAATACAAAACTAAATATAAAATTAAACTTTTAATAATACAAAACTAACATAATACTAATCCAAATATCTTTATGTGCTAACCCATATCATGTGTATCACTCAATACTAACCCAAATATCTATCATTTTATTTAAAAATTAATTTTTGTTTGATTTAGTCTATTTTTATTCGTGAAAGTAGAATAGATTATATAAGTTTAAAACTCCAATTTTATGGAATAATTAAATAAGTGCATTCTATATAATTATTCTGTATAATTTTTGGTTGAATCAAATTAATATATATTGTATTACACATAAATGAATATAATTAAAAAATATATATATATATATATATATATATATATATATATATATATATATTAGTATTTTATTTTAAAGAATAATGTATTATATTAAGTATGTGCAGTAGTAGAGCTGTAGAATAGTGTCTTATTGGTGTGTTCATCCTCTCTAAGCTGAAAAGTTCATTTCATAAAACAATAGATAGCTCTTTTGATAATGGAGTCAGTTTTCGGTGGTCATGTTGTATTCTTTCCATTCATGCCAAAAGCCACACCGTTCCTCTTCTTCACCTCATCCACCTCCTCTGCCGCTTCCCCCACCTCTCCTTGACCCTCTTCACCACCGCCAACCGTCCCTTCATCTACATTGACTGCAAGGTTCGTTCACGGAGGGTGAGTCAGGGCCTAAGATCATAAAGGCGTAGTCGATATTCCTATACTCCCCTCGTTGCTCTCAAAAGACGGAGGAAGCCAGGTTATATAATTCAAGGACACAAGTTGTACCTGAAGATGGGATGGAGGAGACTAGGTTATATCAATTCAAGGACACAAGTTATACGAACGTGAAGCAATTGATGGTGGTCTAGTTTCCTTTTTTTTTGGACCTAGTTCATATTTTTCATCTATTGAACTAAATTAATAACATATTGAATTAAATTAATAATTGAAATAAAATTGTTTTAAAACAAAAATATTATACAATAAAAATAAAAATAAAAATATAATAGTCAAACAATATATTAATAATTGAATTAAATAAAAATTTTGATTTTGTTAAAATTTCAACTGGTTTTCATGTTTAAAAGTTTTATCTCAGTTTATTAAAAATAAATATAATATTTGGTCTGGTCTGGTAAAAAAAATATGGATTGATTTGATTTGTAATAATAATAGTTAATTATTATTATTATTATTTTCTTTTTTCTCCCTTTTAAAAAATTGTGTAAACAGGATCCATATTTTTTTTATGGACAATATGATACATTTTTTTAAATTGTCTTTTTAATTGGACAAGATCACGTGGAAGTATTTAGTCCATTTATTTTTTAAATTTTTATTTTTAAAATATATATAGATTTCTACAATTCAAGAATATTTAAAATTTTTATTTTTAAAAAATATATAAATTCCTACTATGGTCAAGATTAATGAGACCAGCATTTCATATTTTAAGCGGTAGGTAGTGACGGAAGACATTTGATATTTTAAGCGGTAGTAGTGACGGAAGACAGCACCACCAGACATTATTAACAACCCTTTATATTTTTTTGTTTTTATTCTATTTACACGTGACAACCACAAATCTTCCAATTTTAAAAAAACTGGTAAATGTCACTGATCAATTACGTATGATCATTACGCTTCAACCGGGTTATTCTATTCCACCTCTTAGAAAGAAAAGAACTTAAATCAAAATACTTAATAGCATGGCGACACATAAATACAAAACTTATACTCCGAGCACACGCAATGGAGTCGTAGACAGTCAAGTAAAATCCAATCCACGAAATAATTTGATATATGGACAGCATCATTGTGGTAAAGGTCGTAATGCCAGAGGAATCATTACCGCAGGGCATAGAAGGGGAGGTCATAAGCGTCTATACCGTAAAATCGATTTTCGACAGACAGTCAGTTGAATTGATCATGGTGTTCTGCTTCAAAAAAATCCATCACATCAAAATCAATTTATAATTATAATTTTTTTATCGGGTTATTTTTCAGTTTAAAAAATCCATCACATTAAAATCAATTTATAATTATAATTTTTTTATTGTGTTATTTTTCAGTCTGTGTGTTTAAAAAATCCATCACATTAAAATCAATTTATAATTATAATTTTTTTATTGTGTTATTTTCGTGTTTAAAAAATTTACAAATTTCCCATAAATTTAGCCTTTTTTGGGAGAAGTTAATTATATAAATTTCAAACTTCAATTAATAATTAAATAAAGTTTATCTCTTCTCCCAAGTCATTCCTATTTACAATTTTTTTTCGGAACACTTAAAACCAAATCAAATTAATATTTTTGTTAGTATTTTATTTTAAAAAATAATGTATTGTATTAGATAAAAGAATAATGTATTGTATTACATAAATTAGTATAATTTAAGATATATATATATGGAAAATAGTGTGGGCATTTTATCAAATTATTAGGTTTACCATTCATCAACTCTTATTTAAAATGGAGTAATGAATTTTCATTTATTTTATAGATTTTTTTTTTCTACTCCTATTTTCCTAATTCAAAAATCACTTTTTTTGAAGAGTTAATTATTGATATTTGTAATTTATCCTTTATATAACTGTGCTGAGCATTGTTGCATTTCATATCTAAAATTGATTATGGGGTCAGTTTTCCAGTCCGGTAACGTTGTCTTCTTTCCATTCATGGCAAAAGGCCACACCGTTCCTCTTCTTCACCTCATCCACCTCCTCCGCCGCCGCTTCCCCCACCTCTCCGTGACCCTCTTCACCACCGCCGCCAACCGTCCCTTCATCTCCCAGTTCCTCCTGGACTCCGACACCGATTCCATCTCCATCATCAACCTCTCTTTTCCCCAAAATGTCCCCGGCCTCCCCGCCGGAGTGGAATCCACCGACACCCTCCCTTCAATCACCCTCTTCCCTGACCTTTGGGCCGCCACAGAGCTGATGCAACCCGAATTCGAAAAACAACTTCAAGCCTTATCTGATCCGGTCACTTTCTTAATCTCCGACATGTTCCTCTGGTGGACTGTCGAGTCTGCTTCCAAATTCGGCATTCCCCGAATCAACTTTAGCGGTATGTCAAATTTCAACCACGCTATCGTATCCTCCATATATCAAAACGCACTCTTTGATGGAGTTAAGTCCTCTGACGAGCTGATTACCGTCACCGATTTTCCATGGGTGAAATTTGTCCTCGATGACCTCGATGAAGTTTTCTGGCACGCAGACCGTCGGACGTGCCTCCACTTTCAATTGATAACGAAGTCAGTCCACGCAGCAACAAATAGCTACGGGTTGATTGTGAATAGCTTTTATGAGCTGGAGCCGACGTTCTGCGATTATTCAAGTGACGGGGGAATGGGAATGACTTGGAATATTGGACCACTTTGTTTGGCCCAGACTTCCACCCAAAAACTTCAAACTCACCAACCAAACAAAACCGGCACGTGGCTCGAATGGTTGGAGGCAAAACTGAGGCGAGGAGAGCCGGTGTTGTACGTGGCGTTCGGTTCACAGGCGGAGATTTCGAGTGAACAAATGAAGGAGATAGAGATTGGGTTGGAGGAATCCGAAGTGAGCTTTTTGTGGGCAAGAAAAGATGAGGAAATAGGAGATGGGTTTGAAGAGAGGGTGAAAGAGAGGGGGATTGTGGTGAGGGAATGGGTGGATCAATGGGAGGTGTTAAACCATGAGAGCGTTAAAGGGTTTTTGAGTCACTGTGGTTGGAACTCAGTGGTGGAGAGTTTGAGCTGTGGAGTGCCGGTTCTTGCTTTTCCGTTAGTGGCGGATCAAGCTTTGAACGCGAGGATGGTGGTGGAGGAGTTGAGGGCTGGGATGAGAACTGTGGAGTGTGGAGGGTTGGTGAAGGGGTTTGTGAAAGGGAAGGGCTTACAGAGATTGGTTAGAGAGTTAATGGAGGGAGAGAAGGGGAAGGAGGTGAGGAAGAGAGCAATGGAGATTTCAGCGATGGCGAAGAAAGCCATGGCGGAGAATGGGTCGTCGTGGAGGGATTTAGAACAACTGGTTCACAAGATGTGCAGCAACCAATTACCATTCCCGCACACGGTTTTGGCAGCACCCAGTGGAGATGGAATAAATAATGTTCATTAAATATTTCTCACCAACTATGTATTAAATGAAAATAATGGGGCACGTGTCCCCTTTCACTCCATCATGGATCCGTCTCGGTCACAGATACACCCCCAAACTTTATGACATTGCATTAGAAAAAGATACCTTTCATAAGAAAAAAAAATATTTGTTAAGTGGGTCAACCACTATTGTACCATCATGTAAGTAAATTCTAAAAAAGTTCGAGAGCAGGATGATAGAGTTAAAAGTGATTCAAAGTGTCGTATTTTTTTTAGGAATCTAGAGGAGTGGAGTTTCGATTGAGAAGAGATTGTTCTCGAGTTCCATAGGCCTTAGAGAAAACTCTATGTCCATGTAATTTACTAATTAAAAAAATAATCATGAATTTATAAATAAGTATGTACCAGTCATTTTAGAGAAATCAAAAGTAAAATCACTTTCAAAGTGAATATAATACCTGGTTGGTTCCTAACAAAGAGGTTCCTAACAAAGACAAAGAAACAAATTGCAGAAAGATTAAAATGAAAAAATTGAATTGAGATTCAAAGAGTATAGCAGAGCAGGCGCAATACAATTGCTTATACCGCAGAAAACCATTCAATTCGTTTGTCTGCCTGCTTCGAAATCGCCAAACCTCAATTAATGTCAATCCCTAATCTGAAACTTTGAAAATTGAGCAAATATTTTTCAAACATTATTTTAGCTTTGAATTTCAAGATAATGACACGCCAGACCAAACCAACCCAAAACCCTTTTTTCTATAAGCTTGAACAAGAGATACTTCCGAGGAGGAAGAAGAAGAAGAAGAAGAAGAAGAAAATTGAAGAAAAATGACATTTGCAGAACTATTTACCCGTGTTGGATCGATAATTGGCAGTTTGGTGTTCGTCTGGGCATTATTTCAGCAGTATTTCCCAGTTGAGCTTCGTGCCTGTTTCGAGAAATATTCTCATAGATTTGTCAGTTTCTTTTATCCCTTCGTTCAAATCACCTTCAATGAGTTCACAGGCGAAGGTTTCACCCGCAGTGAAGCCTACATCGCCATTCAAAATTACCTCTCCAGAAACTCCTCGTCGCAAGCCAAACGCCTCAAGGCTGATTCCATGAAGAACAACCAGTCTCTGGTGCTCACCATGGACGACCACGAAGAAATTGCAGAACAATACGAAGGGGTAAAGCTATGGTGGTCTTCAGGGAGAAATATTTCCAAGTCCCAGACGATTTCATTCCACCCAGCGACAGAGGATAAACGGTTTTTTATGCTCACTTTCCATAGAAGGCACAGAGATTTCATCATCGGTCAGTATTTGAACCATGTACTCAAAGAGGGGAAGGCGATTAAGGTCAAGAACAGGCAACGGAAACTTTTCACGAACCAAGACGCCCAATGGAGCCACGTTGTGTTCGAACATCCAGCAACGTTCCGGACATTGGCGATGAAGCCAGAAAAGAAGAAGGAGATAATGGAAGACCTAATCGCGTTCAGCCAGGCGGAGGAATTTTACAAAGAAATCGGTAGGGCTTGGAAAAGGGGATACCTCCTGTACGGTCCACCAGGAACTGGAAAATCAACGATGATAGCCGCGATGGCGAATCTCTTAGGGTACGATATTTACGACCTGGAATTAACTTCCGTCAGAAACAACATCGAATTGAGACGATTACTAACCGAAATTTCAAGCAAAGCCGTGGTAGTAATCGAGGACATTGATTGTTCCCTCGATCTAACAGGCCAGAGAACGAACAAAAACGACAGAGGACGAACAGAGATAGACAAGGATCCAATGAAAAGAATGATCATGAAAGAAATTAACGATAAAAACCCTAGCGAGGTGACACTTTCGGGGCTTTTGAACTTCATAGACGGACTCTGGTCGGCATGTGGAGGAGAAAGACTGATCGTCTTCACGACAAACTACATCGAAAAACTTGATCCGGCGCTTATTCGGAAAGGGAGAATGGACAAGCATATAGAAATGTCGTTCTGCGGATTTGAAGCGTTCAAAGTACTGGCAAAGAATTACCTGAAAATTGAATCACATCCGCTGTTTCCGAACATTGAGAAACTCATCGGCAAAACGAGAATAACTCCGGCGGATGTGGCAGAGCATTTGATGCCGAAGGCAGTTTCTGGTGACCCTAGAGATTGCCTGGAGAGTCTGATGGAAGCTCTAGAAGGGCTGAAAGAAGAAGAAGAAGAAGAAGAGAGAGTGAAAACAGAGCAAATACAGAAAAACGAGGAACAGAGTAAATATGCTAAAGAAGATTAGTTAAAATCTTTCGTCGGTAAAATAAGAATAAATAGTTCTTAAATATTATAATATCAGCTGATTATATGTATGTTTTAGAATTATTTTTAATAAACTTCTTATTACACATGCTAAACTCATATTCAAATATATATATATTTTAGTAGAAAATTCATATCCAAATTAATGCAAAGCACAATATTAAAATAATAAATATGTACTATATTTTTATTAAAAAAATTAAAAATAAAAATACATATTAAATGAGATGTCTGACTTTTATTTTTGTAATAACTATGAATCCTAAAAAGATGGATAATTAAATCTTTGAAATTAATTTTTAAATTTAATTTAAAATAAGGTCAAATTAATAAAGCTATCATTAACCATTCAAGAAAAAAATGGAAAGAATACTTTTAACTTCCAAAAATATTTTAAAATACTTTTAGTCAAAACTTTTCAGAAAATATATTTATTATTACACGTTTTCAAAAAATACTCATCAATTTACAAAAGTAACATTATAAAGTTTGGAAATAACGTGGACATAAAAATAAATTAAAAATTTTAATTTAAAATAAAAGAGGGATTATTTTTTATTAAAAATTATTATTTTTTAAATGTTTTAAATATTTAAAAAATAAAAGGTAAAAATTAGGGGTATTTTTGAAATTGGAAAGATGGCAGGTTAAAATGTTAAAATATTAAATATTTGAATGCGGTAAAATTTTGGGTAGAAAATACGGAGTTTGAAACGGCTTCCGAGAAACAGCCCACTGGTTCTCATCTCTCATTCGTTGTCTTCACAGTTGAATTTTCGTAATAAATTCAAATCCATTTATTTATTTTATTTTTCTTTCCCTTCTCGTACACGGAAGAACCCTCGAGTTGAATCTTTTCTTCTTCATTTCTCCCATTTGATTCCGGAGAAACGATTATGGATTCCCGACGGTTCCTCGGATTTTCTCTCTTCTTTCTGTCCGTCTCTACTGGCTTCGCTCGCTTGCCGGAAACGCACAAGAAATTGTACGATCCTTTTCGTGTTCTTCTCGCTCTTCATTTTTTATTTCACGAATCTTCTGACGTATGGTTTTGGATTCAATGTTTTCGAATATCAGAAGTGGATCTGTGCTTGAATTGAAGAGGGATTCGCCACGGCTCATTTTCGATCCAACACGAGTCACTCAGCTCTCCTGGCAACCCAGGTATTCTGTCTCCCTCTCTTATGCGATCGAATGCGATGTTCATTTACTTTCTCAGAAGGAAAGCAAATCCTTCTTAACACTTTCAAACCTCAATTTCCTTCGTTTAGTTTTTAATATTATACTCAATTGGCGATGTGTTTGTTTATATTCTTATGAAAAGTGCAAATCTACAGGGCATTTTTGTATAAGGGATTTTTAACTGATCAGGAATGTGATCATCTAATCGATCTGGTAAGTGACTTATGGAACGGTATGTTTGTTTTAATTTAGATTTTTCAATAATGTGGTAATTCTATGGGTTTGTTTGATTTTATTATTTTCGGGAATAGGCCAAGGATAAATTAGAGAAGTCAATGGTAGCAGATAATGAGTCTGGTAAGAGTGTAAGTAGTGAAGTCCGAACGAGTTCTGGCATGTTCCTCCGGAAGGCCCAGGTGCGTCAGTTTATTTGAATCATCCTTTTTGTGTTGGACTTTTTAGATTTATATTATTCTTTGCAAATTACAGCGCCTGGATCCTTATAATGTCTTGACTTTTTGTACTTATTTGTATGTTATCTTATGTAAAAGATTGATACCTATGTTATCTTATGTAAAAGATCGAGGATCACGGAAGATCCTTGTAGAATTAGGTGAGAAGGAGAAGTGTAGATGTCAATATATGGAATTACGAATGTATTATCCAGTATCTTGGTATCGATAAACATTCTAAGAAAAAAAAAATTCTTAGGAAAACTGTGAACTTGTATAAATAATTTGACTGTGAGTAATATCTGTTTAAGATAGAGATATATGTCTGAATATAAATGACCCAATTTGTTTGCCTAATGGAGTCTAGTCGTTGCCCAAATGTAGTTTGACCTATGCCGTGTGTTGGGGGTGTTGTTTTGAGGAGAATTATCTGCATCCCTGCTCATTAAGGCGTTGTCAGCAGTATCCTTTGTTTATATATCATGAGGAAGTATCCATCTGCTCTCTCTCCTGTCCATGCTGTTGGTGTTCGATGTTGAAGTTAATGACATTTTTCTTCCTTTGAAATGGGTGCATAATCTTGATATTTATTTCCCCCCACTTTTCCTCAAATATGATTTAGTGGGGCGCAATCATGGACAAAACCTGCAAATCTCAATTTAGAAGAGTCGTAGGGTGACAATCTAGTGTTCGAGGACATGGTTTCTGTTTGTCTTTATAGAACATGGTTTCCTTCGTGAATAAAACATAAGTAAAAGATATATTGAGGTTTCAAGTCTATACACCTAGTGAAATGACCAGAAGAGCTATACCAAATTGTTATATTCTTAAATATAGAATGGTTGTTTTAATGCCTATGCACCGCTAGTTGGTAAGTTACGACCCATTACTAATTCTACCACCAAGTTTAAAGAAACATGGATGACAAGAAGTAAAGATTAAGTTGATTCTATTAGTGATAATATTGATCAATGATATTGAAAATGACTGTTGGATCATGCTTGCAAATCGCCTTGAAGCTTAATTATAATGTATATGCTTTATTTTGTGCTTTGAAGGATGAAATTGTTGCTGGCATTGAGGCCAGGATTTCTGCATGGACATTCCTTCCAGTAGGTATATTTGTTATATGCTCCTTGTCATTGACGTACTTTTTTGTTATTCAGATATAAAGCTATTACAATCACTTACGTTTCTTTCTTGAAACTCCGATGTTAAAATCAGAAAATGGAGAGTCCATTCAAATTCTTCACTATGAAAACGGCCAAAAGTATGAACCACATTTTGATTTTTTTCACGACAAGGTGAATCAGGAGCTAGGTGGCCACCGAATAGCCACAGTCTTGATGTATCTATCCAATGTTGAAAAGGGTGGAGAAACCATCTTTCCAAATTCAGCGGTATGGCAGTGGCTCTGCCACTTCAATATGCCTTTGTTTTTCGAGAAAAACAGAATTATATTTTCTTTTTGTAGCCAACTGTGACAACGTTGTCTTCTGCAGTTTGAATCTCAAGAAAAGGATGACAGCTGGTCTGATTGTGCTCGAAAGGGTTATGCAGGTAGATATTTGTTATCGACTCATTTTTATGAGTATATATCACGAGTAATTAATGTATTATGTTACATTTTCAATTTATAAAAGGCCATGGATGGCCTATCTATCATTGCTAGACCTTTCCTGAAAGTATCTTTCTTGAACATGATCTTCCTTTCTGGTCTTTGAGAAAGGGTACTCGTGGCTATGTATCTTATGGGGAGCCAACTTGATTTGACCCTTTGTTATGACTGCATCATTGATTCGTCATTATAGCCTGGTTTTTAAAAAAATTGCTCGTCCGATTAGTTTGAAATGTTTGCAGAAATTGTTGTTTCTTGACTTTTTCGTTGCTCCTATTTTTGTTGTCCTTGTATCTTAGCTTCTGGGATTGATATTGTACACCACTTATGGTTCTACAACATGCCTGCTCAATTGTAGTTAAAGCGCAGAAGGGTGATGCATTGCTTTTCTTCAGCCTCCATCTCGATGCAACAACAGATAAAAGAAGCTTGCACGGTAGTTGCCCTGTGATCGAGGGCGAGAAATGGTCTGCAACCAAGTGGATTCATGTGAGATCCTTCGATAAGGCAACTCGGACAAGTAGTCAGGACTGTGTGGATGAGAACAAAAATTGCCCTTCATGGGCAAAAAGGGGTGAGTGCCAAAAGAACCCTACTTATATGGTGGGTTCTGAAGGTGCAGTAGGATACTGTAGGAAGAGTTGCAAAGCGTGTTAAACTTAACCTATAGGAGTATGTCCACGTCTCTCTCTCTCTCTCTCTCTCTCTCTCTCTTTCACCCGTTTTGCAGAGCTGAGTGTTGATTCTCTGATGGTTATGTATATAACATCGGGCAGTAACTGGGTATACGATACAAGTGGATATTACATATCTTTGATTAAACCTTGTAGTAGCAATTAGCCAAGTGTTTCATTTGGTAATCCAGACTCTGATGAGAAAATTTTCTCTTGATGCTATTGGAACTTTACAAATGATATATTTTTTCGCTTCTTGAATGAAATAACCTTTTAGGATTTTACAATGGATTCTTTTATTTGACACTTCAAAAAATTTATAATTTTATTAGACATAAAATTGAAACACTATGATTATATTGGACAAAAGAAACTATTGTATTGTATTGGCTTGTGTTGCCTTCAAGGCATGGTCAGGATAGCCTTGTGTCAAGATGAGAGCTTAGAATCTCTTAGTCAAATTGGGTTAGAGATCTCAAGTTTGAATCTACAAATGAGGATCTTGAGAATGTGAAATCAATTTAAGAATCTACAAGAAATTGTTGCCTATTATAAATTTATGGTTAAATTTTGAAAACTAAATAATTTCTTTTTTGTTTTTGTTTTTTATAGTTGACTAAGAATTTAAATCTTTCCTAAGAAAAGATAAAACATCCTAATTTTAAAACATATTAGTGATTAAACAACTTTAATAATTTGAAAAATTATGTATTCCTTGTGGCACCGGATCTTTTAACTTAAGAACTAACTTTTGCTTCCATAAAAATATATAAAAAAAATATATATATATATATAAAATAGAGCATAATTTTAATTTTATAGTGACAGGTACATTTTTAAAGTCAAACGTTCAGATCTTCATACTTCCCTTAAATTATCCTTACTTGAATTACCAACTCAACAACACTAAAACATGGATCTGACAGAAAAAAACATTTTGGCTGATGCAACCATTGCTTACCATTCTTACCAAATTCAGCGCACTTCAATAACGTGCCCACCACAAGCCAAGACTAATTAACCACAACCCAACAAAATATGTCACTAAAATGTCATTGTATTAGCGATCACTGATAACTGATATAACAAAATTTTACATTAACCTGTATGTAAAATAACTTATAATATCTGAGCTAGATAAGCTATTTTTTTAAAAAGCCCCAAATTAATTTCCACATTGGATATTTTGATGAACAAACAGCATCTAAATCCATGATCAAAACTTGATGTTTGAGGATAGAATTTGCAGATCACAGTCAAAAAGCAAAAGAACGAGAAAAAAGAATGCATTTATGTTTTTGGCAACTTGCTCGGAATTTCAGTTGCTATTGCTGTAACTTTTGACTTGAATTCATCCGATTTGCCCACAGCTTCCAAATCTGTTGACCCACTAGAAATAAGGAATATGGTGCTTCGACCTTTCTTTTTATGGTATTCATCCAATCCGTATAGAGAAGAATTATCTATCCTTAAAAGAATTACCAGGAACGAAAGAATAGTTGTACAAGATCTACAAAACAAATAGCAGAGTATTATACATTATATGCCAAAATGGGTTGGGGTTGCACACTACTACGAACCCCGCTAATCTTCTATTTACTCAACGGCAAAGCGGTTATTTCTGAGTTTTCATATCCAAAACCAACGACGGGTTGATGGTTTCGCACTTAAATGCCTAATGACTGATAATTGGAGTAGTCGATTTCGTTTAGCCGAATGCAACATAAGATGTGTTCCGGCAAGTCTTCTGCCTTGTTTCCCTGTTTGAATATTAGAATACAACATTAACAAATATTTTAGGCAGCTAATAAGAAAGAAATCATATCCTTTCTTCAGAAAGTTACCTGAATTGTCAAGCCAAAATCCAAGATACATAGCTTCAGTCTATCGTTAAGACTTTCAAAACCTTTTCTTGAGATGTAGCTAAATCTGTGGATGTCCAAATCGATTTCCAAGTATTTCTCCCCCTGCAGGATTTGAAACAAGAATGTGATTCTGTAAAGAGTTATGAACGTATCTGACATGGGGACCAGTCATTGTTTGTTGGAAGACGGAACCTTGCCTAGAAAAAAAGTAGGATGAGAGAGATCCGGCGTAAAGAAAGACTAGAATTTAGTGCGGAATTCCTATTAAATTATCAATGACCGACCAATGAGAGGTGTCCGAAAGAAGCTTTAGTTATTCCAATCAAAACCCAAAAGTAATCTAATTATTATTATTATTTAGATCCATGTCTTTCTATTAAAAAAAGACAACTTTCGCAGCCAATTCATACAAAATTTGAAACATTCCTGCGTGCTTTTAGCTTCACAAACACTAAAGTAAGCGCAATAAGAAACAAAGAAAACGAACAAATAAGGGGGAAAAAGTTTCTACAGTTCAAGATTAGATTGGCACGTAAGATTCAGAAGATAAGCACCACCATATCCACTTTCCTTACTAAAAAAAAGAAAAGATTAGATTATATTTTTTCTTTTCAAACTTAATTTTCTTCAAAGATAAGCACGGAAGACCATAGTTTTCTTTTCCATCTAAAAGCCAATAATCTAGCATTAAGAAGGTATTGGCAGTTCAAGTTATATGCGACATACTTATATTGCGATGAGAGTTCATTGTTCGATTTAGTAATGACGCTAACCAATAAAGCTAAAAGGTGTCTATGGCACTAGCGCCAACTATGTAAAACAATCCCTTCCCCACCTTAGCTCAAAACCTAGTTTTTCTTTTTCCTGCTGTAGAAAGGAAAAAATGTAGCAGTAAGTCATACATTGCAGCACCAACCATGTACAAAACATCTTCATAAACAAGAGCAATGCTTACCAAGTAAAACTCATGTTGAGGTCGTGAGAGGACAGGCTTTTCATTATACGCATTCATAAGCTTTTTCTCAGCTGCACTCAAATGAAGGTCCTCCACATTTTCCACTCGGCCCATAATTTTCAATCTTTCCCTGAATGGTACAATGTTATCCATAGGGAAACCTCTAACCCTTTCGACTTCATCGTTAATTAATTTCTGTTAAGGAAAAAAGACCAATACGTCACATAATTTCTTCAAAAAAAATTTCCAATACAAGATCATGAAGGTTGAATACATAAAATTTTCTCTGAAAATATCCAGGAAATATATCTGTATGTAAAAGAGAAAACTGCAGGCATGCAGTTTGAGATAACTTACAGTAAAATGTTCTTGGAAAGAATTTGGAAGTTCCTTTGAATAACTCTCGGATAGCTTAAAGTACATAACCACACTCATTCCTTCACCGTCATTTTCTCCTTGAAAGATTGTAGCAGAGTACAGTGGTACCTAGAACCAATGAAATACATCCAATAACTAAATATAATCTCATCATGTCCAAGGAGTTTAACAAACAGAAACTAGCTACCAACACATATACATGATATGAGGATATAGCGACAGACTGAACACTTATAATTCTTAATAACTATCAGGTACTTGGTAAATGCCGAGGGAAAATTTCTAATGAAATACTCTCAAGCATGGAGGAGGTTTTAGACCAAAACACCAAGCGAGGATAAGGAATAAAAAATATAGATACCTGAACATTTACTACAAGAATAGAAGGGACATCTCCAGCTGGATTTATAGCCGGAAGTTCCACAAAACGGGCAATATGATCAATTTTTCTCTGAGAGACGAAGACATCTGCTCCAATGGGATAATAGGCAGCACAATTTTGAGCAAACTCTTTCTTCTTATCTCTGTCAAGAAAAAAAATAAATAAATAGTGGATTTGGTTATGAATTTAGATTCATGGGTTAGCTGACAACTATTAAACTAAAAATTACAAGATGGTGTGAATAAGTATGATTGAAGGTAACAAACATTACATAGAGTTGCAAACGAGAAAAAACGAGAGCACAGAACAAAAGATAGCAACTGAACGAAGAATAATTAAATCACAAGCAAGTGCATGATTGAAAGTAAACAAATACCCAAATACAATGCAAAAACGAAAAGAAAAAAAAAAACAAAGGAAAAGGAAAAGACAAGGAAATAGCTCCAACGTAATGGGCTCACCTAAAATAGTTCTTCCCTCGGACTTTAAAAACACTGGGGTCAATAGGTGACCAACAATTGGGCATTCTCTTCCCTACTGGACAGTGTGGAACTGAAGTGCCAGCAATTGGTTTTTGTAAAGGTGCCCTCGGTGAAACTGGCCCAAAAGATTAAGACATGTTTTAAACAAGCTTCACCCAGTTTCAAATTTCACAATTGGTGAATATACAATTAAACATTTGGGAATGCACAAGAAAAATTGAGAAATTAGAGGAAGCACTCACATGTCATCGGATCATTGTGTCCTTCCTTTAACTTAAATGAAAGTTTTGAAGATGCTTTTCTCCTTAGATTTGGAGTTCCTTGGTTGATTTGTCTCCTTTTTTCAAGTGAGGGTCCAGCAGCAGCCAGATATGGCAAACAAGTATTTGGAAGAAGGCCGCAGTTATTCCAATCAGCCGCCTCACCTCCTTTACCATTTTCACCCTCTGTGGAAACTTCATCTACAAAAATGGGGGTCAAATCATTTCTGCAATCACTAGATCTCTTAGCAAGAATTGTCGCAGAAGTTTCATTATGTTCCTTATTGTTTCGATGCTTTGGAGATGAAACACTTAATCTTGATGCGAACTCAGAGCCATTTAAAGACAACACATCTGCATTTATTTACAATCACATTAGTGATTTCCTGAATAATTTGGTGCAGCATGACAGCGGCTAGTTATAACAATGAATCCCCTCCTCAATTCCTCTCCCTCCACACACAAGAAGATAGAAATATCTATCGTATCTATAACGGTTCAGTAATCATCAAATTGATATTGATGAAGAAAAATACGCAGGCCTACCATCACGAACGCTATAAAACTCATCATCGAATTCCGAATCAAGGACTGAAGTGGAATCAAACCACGCCGCATCGACACTTCCTCTAGCTAGATCAAATAACATGAAAAAAAGGAAAAACAATGCGAATCAATTAACTTTCCGCAAAAAGAAATTATTATTGTTATCACATAGCTAATACGTGGCAGACTTCTGAAGAACATGCACCAAATCTGATCGCCGGCCTTTTAAAGAATCCAAGATCAGAAAAGTAAAGGAAAAGACAAAGAAAATTAAAAAAAAAAAAAAAAAAAAAA